ACAGAGAGAGACATAGAGACAGAAAGCGAGAAATCACCCCCCAGGGGGGATGGTCACGCCGCAGTCCCTTCTCCTCCATTCTCCTCTCGGGATCTTGGGCACACACGCACACGCGCCCGGCGTGAGTTTTAAGCCACCGGGTCCGGGACACGAACCGCGGTCGACTATGTGGGAGTCCAGCGACATAGCCATTACGCTAACTGCTGGTTCCCATGTGGTCTTGAAGCTGGAGAACATACAGTGTTCCCAGAGCCAGCTTTCCATCCAGCCTGGACAGCACAGCTGGGGCCCGTAAGCCCATGAAGGCCTGCTCGGATGTCGTCACTGTGGGGGGAAGAGAGCGTGGGCGTTGGGAAGTCTGAGGCACCGTCTAGGCCATGGGGTCATTGTTACAGCATCCTGCCTAAAGGAAGTACCCCCCGCCCCAGCCCCATGGAGCTCTGTGCTTCCTAAAGGTCCCATACCTCGGGGAAAGATGAAAGTAAATATCATAAAGCTGATTAAAATTTTTTTCAGAGTATGAAAGTTTTATGCTTATTACAGAAAATTCAGAATATGTAGAAAATATAAAGACATAAATTACTTATAACCTTGGAATCTAGAGAGAAGCTAGTTCTCTATATTTTGGTACATTTCCTTGTAGTTTTGTGTAATGTTTTAAACATTACATTTATCATATAAAATCTTCTTTTTTCGAAAATTAGACCGATGTCTGAAAAAACAGAATGGTGGTGGTCTGTTAGCCCGAATTTCTCACTAACCCGCCTTCATCTTTCCAGGTGGCTTGGCCTGGAGCTGGCTGGGGCAGGTTAGTGCAGCCCACATGGCTGTGTCTGGAGCCAAAGGTCCTGAGAGGCTGTGAGGGCAGCCAGGAACACAGGGCCAGTGGGCATGAGGAAGGCGGTGGGTGGGGCCTCACAACCCATGTTCATTTTTTAAAATTACTTTTTAGCTTCTTATTTACATTTAATTGCACATTTCTATAGTGCACAGTATGGTTTTTCAAAGTATGCACGTAGTACTTGACAGTCAAATCAAGGCTATTACCATATACACCATCCTCAACAGAGATACAGTCTCGTGCCTGTTAAGGTTTCTTCCTTGAGCCCTTCTCACCTACCCTCTCCCATCCACCCCTCCCTCACAGTCTGGTGTCTGCACTTGTCCTCCCTACTGTAATATGTTCTATTCTGCCATATACTGCTGACAATGAGCACATATTGACTGGGGATATACGATGTTTGTCTCTCATAGTTTGACTCATTTCACATTCTTACATTGAGCCCCTTCTAATCATAAAGAAAATTTGTACTTGTGGGAAAAATGTAGACAATGTTTTAAAAGGAGAAGGACACCCAGTCCTGCATCCCAAGTCCTACTGCCCTGCTGGTATCTCGGGCAGCTGGATGAGGAGGATGAAGGTAGCTACCGCTGGGCCAGGAAACCAGCTCACCATCTCTCCCTGGAGTTTGAGTTCTTGTGTTCCCTGGAAAGGGCTGATCAGTGTGTAAGACACGCTCATCTCGGCCGCCCCAGGAAGGGTGCACTATGAGGCGCTGTGGACACAGAAATGACCCTGGCTGGTCACTGCAGTAAGGCTGACCTGGGTTCGAGACAGCTCTGCTTTCTTTGCCCCAGTGGCCTCGGCCAAGCCAGTACATTGCAGTGTACCTCCATTTCTTCACCTGAAATGTGCAGAGGGTCCTGTGGGATAAGTGGAAGAGAGAGCAAGCCAGGAAGAGACCGAGGCCTCACACACCTGCATGCAGTGGACACTTAGTGGCCGTCTTCTGCAAGGCGTGTGGGGCCACTATCCTAGAGAGTGTGTCTCACTGGGGGCTTTGCTCAGTCACTCATTTTTATCCCAGGAGCCAAGAGTGCCTGATAGCTTCTCGCATGAGTCCCCTGCCTACGCCCTCGTGTGGCACCAGCAGCTCCCAGGCAGTGGGCCCGGTCTTTACTGCACCTGTCTCCTAGGCATCACCTCGGAGAATGAGCAGGAGGTGAAGCAGCTCTCCTCCGAGACTGACCTGGAGCGGGCGGTGCGCAAGGCGGCCCTGGTCATGTACTGGAAGCTCAACCCCAAGAAGAAGAAGCAGGTGGCCGTGTCAGAGCTGCTGGAGAATGTCGGCCAGGTCAACGAGCATGGTATGTGGCCTCTGCATGGGCACCTGGCCTCCCTGTGGGCACCTGGCCTCCCTGTGGGTTCCTGGCCTCCCCATGGGCGCCTAGCCTTCCTGTGGGCACCTGGCCTCCCAGTGGGCACGTGACCTTCCCGTGGGCACCTGGTCTCCCTGTGGCGAGAGGATGGTGGCATGTCAACAAGAGGACAGCAGAAATCCTGGCTCATTCATTGAACAAACTTATACCGAGCTTCTTGTAAGACCCAGGTTACAGGTGCGGGGTCATACAGGCCTGGCCCCTACCCCGGGGTGCTCATGGTCTACTCGAGTAGAAATCACACAAGGGGACAAGGCCAGGTGGTTGGGGTCAGGCAATGCCAACCAAAGAGGGTGGCACCCAGTGCTCTGTGATCGCAGCCACACGTGGGGCAGGCTGTGCCCACTGCAGAGTTGGAGCATCTCTGGGGTATGGGCCTCAGGACAGTAGTCCTGCCTTGATTCTCAGTCCACTTGCCCTTTGCAGATGGAGGACCCCAGCCAGGCCCTGTCCCCAAGTCACTGCAGAAGCAAAGGCGGATGCTGGAGCGCCTGGTCAGCAGCGAATGTGAGTATGGCCGCCTGTCTTGCACCCACACCTTCCTCCATTTTTTCTGCCCCTAACCTGGCCATAGCACCCACTCCTTCCTGCAAAACCAGGCCTGCACCCTGGCTAGGACCTCAGGGGGTGTGAGTGGACTCAGTCCATTCCATCGGCATGAGCATTCTGGCACCAGATCTGAGCCCTGCCCACCAGGAGCGGTCAGGTAGACATGGGATGGAGGCTGAGGAGCGGTCCCCGCCAGATAAAGAGGCCTGGAGTAGGGGGAGGAGGCCACACGAGGGTGCTCGAGCAAGTCGGGAGGAGTGAGGCAGGGCCAACTCCATGACGTGTAATGGGGGCCCCCCGGCAGGGGACAAGCACCAGCAAAGCCCAGGAGACCCAGCAGGTGTGTGAAGGGCTCCTCAGTGTGAGACGTGGGGAGCTAAGGGATGGCGGGGCAGAGAACGCACAGGGAGGGGAGAGGTGTAGGTGCATGCTGAGCTGGGGGTGCCTTAGGGTCATCAGGCAAGGGTTAGAAGAGACTTTGCCACTCCACACGCAGCCACCCAGTCTGATCACCACTCTGTCCTCTTGGGTGGACTCTGGCTGGGGGCCCAGGTGAGACAGGTTCCTTTTTACCAGGAGAGCGGGGGTGAAGACCAGTCAGCCCCACACTTTTCCTGTGACCTTGGCCAAGTTTCTCTTTCTCTCTGGGCCGCCTGCTGTTCTGCACAGTGAGATGGTCCGAACAGAGACCCACAGGACCTGCCAGTCTCGGGTTTCCATTGTGTTTTGGGCAGGGGTGTCATACAGGGAGGATATGTCCCACTTTCCCACCAGGCCAGTGAGACATCTGTGTAAAGTGCCAGCATGCGAGCAGTGGGACCAGGTCCGGGGAGTGCTGCTGAAACACTCTGCTCCGGGGGCCGGGACCATACAGGAGACCCAGGTTCAGTTCCCAGTCCAACCTGAAGGCTGGTGGTGTGTGCTGGTAATCCCAGCCGGGAGGGGAGGCAGGTGTGGTGTGGGTCTGGAGCGTGCGCTCAGAAGTTGAGGCAGGAGGATCATGACACAGTGAAAGCCTGTCTAAACAGCAGCCGGTGGCGGTGGGATCCTGGCATCTGGGTAGGCGGACGGAGGCGCACCGGCTGGCTTCTCTTGCTCCGTTGGGGTGTGTGTGTGTTGGGGGAGCAAGCGTATCACACTGGAGTGGGGAGAAATCTGAGCCTCACAGAAACTGCAGGAGGGAGGAGGCATTTCAACATTCATCCCTGGGCTGCCGAGCACCTAGTGGTGTTTACAGTGAGCAGCCATGGCCCAGGTGTAGGTTCATCGTGAAGTAACGTACAGGCGGAGGGTACAGTGCTCCGTGTGCTGACCCGGCCGCCCAGCTCTGACTTTCCAACGCTGTGGGGGTTTGTGATGAGCTGGCTTACACCCTACTGCTGGGCATGGAAACTGCTGGAAGGTCACAGGTCGAGTGGGAAAAACACATGCCTTGAGCTCAGACATACCAGCCCAGGTCTCGCTCTGCCGCCCACCAGCTGTGCGAGCTGGGCAGGGCCTTGGCCCCTCGAGCCTCACCTGTAGGAAGAGACAGTCCTATCCATGCAGCATGTGAAGGGACAGCACCTCCAGCCCAGTGGTCAACCTGTATCTTCCCCCCACTGCTCTCCTGGCACGCCCTGGGCGCCGTCCTCACCCCGCCCTCCCACGCACACCCACACCAGATCACAGCTCTGCTGGCTCCCCGTTGTTGTTAGAACAGCTTGAGTTCTTGCCACAGCCCGGCAGGCTCCACGCTGCTGCCCTTCTCCCTGCACCACATTCTTGAACCTCGTTAGAGGACAGAGCAGCATGTGTGGAGGGCCTGCTGGATGCCAGCTCAGCAGAAGAAGAAGCCAGAGTCTTTCAGGAGCCCACCCCTGCCCCGGGGAACCTCCACCCTGTTATTCGTCGGGCCTCCCAGGTGTCTCCTGCCTCAGGGCTCACGGTCATCCTTCCCTCTGCCCAGCCTGCTTTTCCCAGGGCTGTCATGTGGCCTCATGCGAGGTACATCTTCAGCCCACCCCTGCCCCGGGGAACCTCCACCCTGTTACTCCTCGGGCCTCCCAGGTGTCTCCTGCCTCAGGGCTCACGGTCATCCTTCCCTCTGCCCGGCCTGCTTTTCCCAGGGCTGTCATGTGGCCTCGCATACATCTTCTGACTCCCCAGAGCCAGAATGTGGTGCCCTGCCGTCTCCCTCTTCCCGGCATTTTCCCAGGGTGCTGGTCCAGGCTGTTGTCTCCTCATGCTGTTGTGCTGACTGCTTCCCTGCAGGGCTGTCATCCCCAGGAAGCAAGGACTCTTGCTCTGTAGTACCCCTGCAGCCCACGCCCTCCCATGCAGGAGGCCACCTAGAAACTGACTAGAGCCAGCCTTTCGTGCCCAGCAGGCCTGCAGCAGGTGGGGGAGATTCTCATGATTATGGCTCACTTGTATTGATCCACTCAACACAGTCTCCCAGGCCAGCCAGGAGGAGAGCTCCCGACCTGGATGTAGCCCGTGATGACTCCCAGACTTCATTCAGAATCTCCCACCTCTAGACAGGAAGCCCAGACTGGGGCACATACTGAGTTTCACTCACCCATCCCAAGTAGGTTGACACTGGGGTGAGGGGGTGACAGGGGTCGACAGGCAGATAGTGGGCCTTTAGCTTATCATCTCGGATGGAGGGGTTGGTAGGCACATAGTAGGCTCTCAGAAGATCATGCTGGAAGGAGACATAGGTAGGAGCATAGTAAGCAGGAGTGTGGTGGGCCCTCAGCCTCTTGTGTCGGGTGGAGGGGTTGGCAGGAGCATGGTGGGCCCTCAGCCCCTTATGTCGGGTGGAGGGGTCAGCAGGAGCATGGTGGTCCCTCAGCACCTTGTGTCGAGAAGAGGGGTCGGCAGGTGCCGGAGATCTGTTCCAGCTGGGGTGGGTTGAGACTACGGAAGGCGATGAAGGCAATAAGAAATCAGGCAGAGACCTCTATGCTCTTTAGCATGTTCTCAGCCGACTACAGTCAGAGCAAGCTCAAGACTGCAGCGTCAGTGGCTAGGAGACGTACATTTTTATTGAGGGATGTTTACGGAAGTAGGGGCGTGGGGGAGGAAAAAAGATTTTACTCTAAAAAATGAGATATTCAAAGCATGGGAACAGTAATCATAAAACATGATGTCTGTTGGGAACCAGCAGTTAGTGTAATGGCTATGTCTCTGGACTCCCACATAGTTGACTGCGGTTCGCGTCCTGTACCCAGTGGCTTAAAACTCACACCGGGCACGTGTGCGTGCGTGCCCAAGATCCCGAGAGGAGAATGGAGGAGAAGGGTTTGCGGTGTGACTATCCCCTCTGGGGGGTGATTTCTCACTTTCTGCCTGTCTGGCGAGCGCACATGCCCTATAGCAAAAAAATCTCTCCAAAAAAAGAAAGAAAACATGATGTCTGTTTTGTTTGATAAACAGTCACAGTCCTCAGGGCGAGGAAGTCCATCTGTCTGGTGCATTTTCTTCTTAAATCTTGGATTACCAGATAGGGCCTTTTTGGATGAGGGGGTTTTTGTAGTTCAGGAGACAACACGGGATGTTTTATTAGCAGTTTTTCATAGTTTACGACACACAGAGGAGAAACCATTTGTAGTTAGGGACTATCTGTTGCCTACCTGTATTTAGATAAGAACTCTCAGTTAAGATAGGTAATCCCTTCCCCCACCCCACACCCGACACCCCACACCCACCACACCCCCCCCACCCTGCACCTTTAGGTGCGCTCA